TGTATCCTTTTTTCCTTGAACGAATTACATAAACCAGTGTGGAAAGTATCACAATTTAGTTTGTCAAACTTCTTAACAAAGCTATTGAAGTTAATGGAATGAAGATACTTTGTCCTTGACTGCTACATGACAATTTATCCTGACAAACTTTAAAGTTTACGGACGTGGAATTGTGATATCAAAGTATTGAAAGACAGGTGTGAGCGATACATGCCTATTTGATCTCTTGTCTAACNATTGTAGTGAGATTATATAGACACTAGCATTTTCATATGAAAGGGTTTGATTGAAAAAACAATGTTTAAAAATCTCAGACAGGTGACTAATTCTGAGATAAATCGGTCCAAACTATCTGGGGTTACTGTTCATATGCAGGTTTTTAAAGATATTGATAAAAAGCATAAACATGGTATTATAGTTGCAGCTTTGAATTCAGATAATAGAAATCATTAGCTCCATGCATACATTTCAGGACAAAACATTCACATCTCTGACACACTAATTCGACGTAAGAATGTTCAACAGATGAATTTGTTTGAACTATTTCTGTTACAGAAAAAATCAAATGTAGGGATACATATTTTAATAGGGGGTAATATCGCAGATTATTCAGATTAAAAAGTACATAACGTATTTGTTGTTAGAATCCTGTGGTTTACAAAAGGTGTAACGACTTCATAAGTAGGTCTTCCGGAAGAAATCGACAGGAATCATGGTCATCATTCGTTTTACTACATATGAAGCTGTATACATTAAAACTTATTTAACCGTTTATTTTTCGTCTGTATCTGTTTACAGCAAAAATCAGCGAAAAAATAGATATCATTGTAAACCAGTTATGAAGTATAAGAAAGAAATAATTAAAAAATGGCTACTGCTGTCTGACAGGATACATATTATATATTAATGGAATGAAAGCAGAAACGAAACAAATTTTTATTCCAAATATCAATACACTTAAACTTGTGATTATTAACCTTTGTATTCATTCAGATGAGGGATCATTAGAGCAAAAAGGTCGATTCGCTGGTCATCAAATATACCTGACAAATACAACAGGTTGGAGAAACAGTGGCAGTTGTTATGCAGACACAACTTCTCAACAAAGTATGGTGGACCTAACTCCACGAATCACATCATGTACAGGCAACACCCGATACCTGACAATTTACGTCGACCGTCAAAAAAAACCTTACTCTTGGTACACTACACAAGCTATACTGGAGCTCTGTGAAGTACAAATTTATGGTGAGTGTATTCGTGCAGTAGTTTGATTTAAACCATTGAGACGTCATATGATGTATATAGTCTCCATTAGGTTGTATTGTGTGTGTATGTCATTCGTGCCCTGAAAACTTAAATCAACGAACTAAAGATTTTGTAAAAGAGAAATAAACTAATTGACAAGAATGAAACATAAGAATAGTATTTGTCGCAATTTGAACAATTCACCACCCGGGCTTTTATGCTCCTGCTATTTAGGCTATGTAAGTGGTAATTTTTGCTTAACACAATTAACATGCTTCGTTCCTGTTAATTTATCTGGAATGTGTAGCAAATTTACTCCAATTCATACTGCATGTTGTTTGAGATATCCAGATTAATCCCTATACCCGGCTATTATCAAATATCGATATATCTTAAATACCTTGCCGCGCTATGTAACTTACAATGTACATGTACGCGTCAAGGTTGTGGAAATCTGCTCGTTTAGATAATAGCTTTAATATTATTGAAATAAACAACATTATGACAGATTGCAAGAAAATCATAAACCTATCAATGGTTTGGGTCACTATGTTATGCAAAGGGAGACAAATCTTACAAGAAAAAAATAAAAGAATTTCGAAAATATTAGAATAGAATCAAAGGAATATTTTTTTCACACGTGTACCTATTGAACATCACGAACATGTAATTTAAAAAAAAATCAAACTTGACTGATATTCATATTTTATTTGGTTTTTTTTTCAATAAAATTATGGTCATCTTAATACTTATCAAAACAATAGTGATTATTAAGTATTCTTAATCCTATATCCGATTCCCTGATGGATTTGGTTTTATTATGTTTAATGTCCTATTAACAGCTATGATAATTTAAGGACGTGCTCCCATTTGTATTGCGTATGCATGTATGCATGTATCTTTGCTGGAGGCAGGGTATGTTGTTGTAATTGCCTCCTTGTGATAGCACGGATCTGATGCCGACTTTAAAGTTGTGTCTCACTGGAATACCTTGCAAAAGTAATTCGTCCTGTAACATTATACTGACAAAGGGTGAAGCAGTTGTTGCAATTACCCTAAATGCCTAACGTTAAGCTGTTAATAGTATATGCCTTTTTTAAAGACTTTAGTATGTTCTGGTCTGAGGATAGAACCGATTGCCATCCTCACCTGAAGAAACGTTAAACTTTAAAGCTAAAATTGAGGTATTGCCAAGCAAGGCGCTATGAAATAAAAGGTAGCTAGAGGTAGTGAGAAATGTAAAGATCCCAAATACTGTAATGGTGCAGCAGATTTATTTTGGTCATGCAGTGGATAACAGCAGGTGCATTCATTTCCCGATCCCCGATCTGCAAGGGTGTCCCCGATTGGACGTGAAAAGGTGTTGAATCACCAGCCCGACCACGTGGGTTTTCTCCGGGTACTCTGGTTTCCTCTCGTAGTAAGATCCTTTTTTTTCCATCCGGGCCAACAAATGTGAATTATGTATGATGGAAAAAAACAGGTTTCATTCTTGTTGTAAAGCAAAAGTATAAAGATCTTTTATTTTTCTTTCTTATTTTAATATATATGTGTTCTGTGCATGTAATCCTAAACTGTTAACATATAATAAGCACCTGCTGCAGAAATAGTACCCATTTTAAATCACCTATTGTAATATAGAGACAAACTAATATAAAATTACTTTAGACATTGAAACTGTATAATTGATTTTAATTTATTTGAAGCGCATATGATCAGGTAATTTTCTGCTACTTTATATAAGATGTTCAAGTTTTTTTGAATTTTTGTTACACAACTACACAATTAATGGACTTTATTCGAGCTTGTTTTGTTGCAGATGCTTTTGGTGAGAGAATCATAACCTTAATCAATTCAATCAAAAAAAATAATAGCTGCTTTGTATTGATGTTCATATTTCAATGTACCATACTTCTGTAATTAGCGCAAAAATGATAAAGTTCGTTTAGGGAGGAAAGGATATTTGAACATATTGCATCATAAGAGATACAAATTCCAGGTTGTCCAGTAGGAAAATATGGTAACAGTAACTGTGGTACCAACTGTGATACAACCTGTTTTAATAGCCTGTGTCATCCTAACAGCGGCCAGTGTACATGTAAGTAAATACATTTTAAGTAGATTTTTTAACTGTAATAGACGAATGTTCATATCGATATATATCAAACAAATGTGAAAATTAACAAAACTCCAGGAATTATACAAAAATGTGTTATTCACAAAAGAAGACGTTGCATTTTGCACAAATATTGCCATTGTTTCAGATATTCAGTGTTACTAGGCATCTGAAGAGCAAATACATTGAACAGTTTGTCATTTACAAATTTATTTATATATCATTAGAATATAATTTCTTTCGTTGACTTACAAATTACATCACGAATGTTTTCCATTAAGTTGTTTACTATTGTTTTCATTATCTCAATATTGTTTTCTTGATTTCAACGAAGTGCCATTGTCTATAATACTATTAGATTACTATTAAATTCTGTACTATTTTATCACATTGATAATTGTAGTTTAATACTTTGAATCAGCAGTGATTACGTAATAACACACTCATTATTTTACACAATAACGTCATATTATTTGTAGACTGTGCATCGGGATTTTATAAGTCCGGACTTGTTTGTACAGCATGTCCGACAAACTGTTTGAATGGCGTGTGCAATGTGGAGTCCGGTGTTTGCTCAGGTAAGTAAAACGTCATTCTCTCATTTCATGTGTAAGATAGAGCTGTCCAGGGTAAGAAAGGGTTGTGGGAAGTTCTATCTTACATCCCATTTCATGTGACGTGACGTCACAATGGCTCAACAATGACGTGACGTCACGAGTTTGGAAATCTCCGATGCTGCAATGTGTAAAAGGCGACGTGATTAAATTAAAACCTTTTACGATATATTTACCGTTTACCTTAGAAAGATGTGATCATATATTCTGCGCAAGTTTTGTTTGGAATTATGGAGTATTCTAAATCTGGCTGACAGATTCGTTTTCGTCTAAAAAGCTCATATGAAAAATTGATATTTTCAAAATGGTTGCCAGTCCAAACTCATTTTCGTGGTTTCTGAGCTTATATGACTATTTTATGCCCAAGGGTGTAGGATAGGGACATTCCACCCTCGGGATTTATAAGTTTGGCAAAACCCCTCGTGTGGAATTTCCCTATCTTGCATCCCTGGGCATGAAAGAGTCTTATAAAATACCTGTATCTATGATTAAAACATACAATATTGTTTTTTTTGGTGAGTTTATGATAAACATGAAGTGATGTATAGATGAACCAGGAATAAAGTTACAGTATTGTTTTACTCTTGCTGGCCTAAACTGATTTTTGTATTGCTTTCCTAGGAGTCTCAATTTCAGCCATTATTGTGACTAACAGTATAATAATCGGACACATGTTATCATCTTATTAACTGTGTGGTATTGTTTATACATATATAAGTGAAAAATATATACCATAGAAAGATGTGATCATATATTCTGCGCAAATTTTGTTTGGAATTATGGAGTATTCTTAATCTGGCTGACAGATTCGTTTTCGTCTAAAAAGCTCATATGAAAAATTGATATTTTCAAAATGGTTGCCAGTCCAAACTCATTTTCGTGGTTTCTAAGCTTATATGACTATTTTATTTTATACATATATAAGTGAAAAATAAATCGAAATTATTTTAATGAATTTTGAAATAGAATTATTTTGACATCGTGTCTCTAATGGCGATTGATGTGATCAATATTGGCCACCAAAGTTCACCGTATACAGAAAATATAAGATTATGATGTTTCAAAGGTATAAATCATACACTTTATATTTCAATCAGTCAATTTTGATTTAGTTACAGCAACTTACAGATAAAAAATGTTACGTTTGATACAGATGAACCACCCTACATTTACTATAACGTTGTTTGCGGCGTTGGAGGAAAACACTTCATAATGCCCGTGCGCTACCAAAGCTGTGTCAATCACATTTACTGCTAATGCTATTTCAACGGAGTTCAATGAAATAAACATTGTCTTATATCTATACAAATACTTTGTCCCCCTTTTAGTACTAATTTGATAATATGGCACTTTTGGTAATATATTTGTAATATCACCTCTTTCATTAAGGCCTTAATGAAATATGGTCTTGGATTTAATTTGACTTAACTTGGTTGATTTAAAAAAAAATATGTGCTTTGTAATGTTTTGTTGAAATACCATCCAGTAATTGAACGTACCGTGTTTATTCAGCTTGTATCAATGGGTACTGTGGCGACCTTTGTGATCAACAATGTCGGGAAAACTGTTCAAACTGATCAAGGAAACGGTTTCTGTGAAGTACATGTAACATATGTACGTAGGCAATGATACGATTGGTCAAATCAATATTTTGATAGAACTTCAGGAGCTATTCTGTTTCAGATAAAAGCTCTCCTGACACAAAAAAAGCATTTTCAATGACATGGTTAGTTTGAAAGTCTACTTTCATATAGCCAAAAATGTAGTTGTTTGTATCCTCATATAATGATTTCATGGAATACAGTAGTGCCGATTGAAACAAAACAAAAACGGAAATGATTGAGGGTTTTGTTGTGATTTTGATCAATTCTCTTATCAGCAGACAAAACTTTGGCATACTTGCATATGTATTCAATGCATACCTCACCACTTACGTAAAAGGAAATACAACCTTCCGCAATTTATTATTTATGATGCTCTTCAAACGTGAAAGCTTACTGACTTAGAGTACATCATTTAATGTGTCTTACCTTTATCAGTTTAAATGTGTGTATTTCATTCTAGAACGAAACGAAGCATTTGTACTGGGATTTACTTAAAAGCAATTATTTGATGCTTAATTGGCTCAAACGATTTCAAACGTGTTCTCTCGAAATCGTATTTTGACATACATGAATTCAACCATTCATGCACGGATACCATGGTTTCCTTCTTCTAGCATTATTGAGTGAAAAGCTATTTTCTATACTCTTTAGTTGTGATTTACGGACATATCAAAATGTTATTATTTCGCGTTTCCATTATATTTTATTGTATGTATTTGTTAAGAGTTACTCGAAAAATCAATTTGATTTGCAACGAAAGTATGTTTATACTGTTGCCCTCGTGGCAGTCATTTTGATCAATAATACGAAGTAAACTGTTTAAAACGTTTGTTTTCAACGGAATATGGGGTGGTCCATGTATACATCATAAAGATAGTAATAGAAGAAGTCGCTGGTAACCTTAGCATCTTTAAATAGTTGCTGGCATTTACAGACAGGGAATGTCACGTGGAAATACAAATATATACTCTCACATTTTGGTGTTTCTTGGTACGACTGTCTATTTGTTAATAAATTGTAAGTGTAGCACCTTGAAACAGTTAAGCTTTGATTAAATTGTTACTGATGTGATCAAAGAAACGGAGTGTATTCGTGTACGTTGTAAATATTACTATTTGTTGTAACTTTACCACGAGAGTAAACATGGATAGGTATACTCACCTTGAAACAAATATGTCGTATAATATCACGGTAGATTTAAACATTTAGTGCTAATTGGCTTGAGGATTAGTGTTCCAATACATCATTATGGTATTTTTGTTTAACATAAAATCGAGCATTAAACGTCGAACATATAATTATTCCAAAGTGTACCGTAATTATAATTATTGGATCAATGTGAAGTTTACAGTGTCCTTTTGTGAACCTTTAGTGCATTACCTGCACTACAAAGATCATTACTGTAACGTCACAGTACCTAAAACGGTCAGTATCTAAAACGTGACAGTATCCAAAACGGGACAGTACCTAAACGGGAGCTTGTGGGATAACGACCGAAGAAACTGTCATACAATCCAAAAACAAAAGTACTGTTATGTATGCAATTTTCACTTGATGCTGCTTTTATGATAGTTAAAGCGTTGTTGGCTGTTAATTATCATTACATGGAAAATGAAAAGGTAAGAATAGTTACCAAAATCGAAAGTTCGTGTTTTCCTTGTCGCATGACGCTTTTTATTTGTATATCATTTTTTAAAAGATTAGTTATCAAAGCCAATGCTAGTTTAGTGAAGAATTTAATCAGAAACTCCTGTGACCCTAAATAGTTGAACTATGTATAACTTGCTGCTGATATTGATTGTTTATTTCCCCACTTTAGCCAAAATACCAAAGTATCCCGTTCAGGTTACAGGTGTAGGTTATAGTTACACCTGTTCAATGGCCTACGTGACCTTGATAGTATTTCGCGTTATATTGATTTAACAACAAGCCGGAAATACCAACATGTAATAGAAATGACAAGTGGAGAGTATCTATTTATGAAAAATAAACTAACATTTTTTAAAAGGATAATATGGTATGAAGTACCTTGATATTCATCTTAAAAGTGTCCCGTTGAATATCGTGACGTTAACTGGTGTTTTGTTTATTATTTTTTTACCTTTCATGCATTATTGTTTTAAGATACTGAGCTCAGATGGCTATATAATTCGTGACTTGTTAACATCCTCTTCCAATTGTTTCTTGATTTCATAAAGCAATTTTAAATTTAAAAAGCTATCGTAATGCTACATTGTGCCAACCAAATAGTACAAAGCGAATAGGTAAATAGAGTATGATGAGATCAGAATAATAAACTTTACATTTGTTGATACTCTTATACAGATTTATGTTCACAAATGTATATTCCTTATAAATAACATATTCAAATAATGTTCTGACAATTTACTCAGACTAAGTTATGTATGATGGGTTTTTTCAGTTTGCGTCGATGGGTACCATGGCAGCCAGTGTGACCAATCATGTCCAGACAACTGTCAAGACAAGATATGTGACCAATATAGCAGTGTGTGTACAGGTATGTCATCAATGCTATACTTTCTTTTAGCAATATTTTGATTTAACAAAATAAGGGGGATTTGAAGGAAAATGTTGAATGGACTAAACTCATTAAATCCTATCTACCATATCATGATTTCTTATATTTCTATATTATCTCTCCTTTTAGATTAACAGAACATGATAGTGTCAATTTAAATATATAATTAAACTAAATTATAAATTATAAAAAGTAATTATGCTGAAATAAGCAATACACTATTGCAATATAAACAATAAACATACTGTAATTGAAAAAATAGACAATTTGTACTCTCGATGTAAATGACATACTGTGAGCATTTCCCCTTCAATAAGCTTTAGTTATGTTTTAACTAACATATGATCTTAAATCGAACTGGATTTCTACGTATCTTTTTACGTAACTATTGATTGAAATAAACCCCGTCAAATGCGATCAACCATGTGCAGATAACTGCGATGACAAAATATGTTATCAAGGAAACGGAGTGTGTCTATGTACGTAGTAAATATTACTATTTGTTGTAATTTTACCACAAGACTAAACATGAATAGGTATCATTACATTGAAACAAATGTGTCGTTAAACATCACAGTAGGTCTATATTGCCACTGCTAATGGACTTTACGATTCTTGTTCCTACATATCATTATTTTATTTATGTTTTACGGAAAATGGAAGTGCCAATGGAGCAAAAACATGTCGTAATTAACGCAAAGTATGCTGTTATTACTATTATACTTTCCTGGGATTAAAAATACCTGCTTTGCATAAATCACCATTGACACAAAGGCTCATCTTATCAATCTCTGCCCCAATAGCCGATTTTATGGTTCTCTCATACACATATTATTTGCTATAATTTTTACTACAAGCGCAAACATGAATAGGTAGCATATCATATTATTAATCTCTTTCTCAATAGCCGATTTTGTGGTTCCTTTATAAATGCCTGAAATACGACTTAGATTAGTTTGAAGGTTAAGACAGAGGCAAGAAATTCCAATCGCTTGTTGTTTGGTCAAGATGTAGTTAACAATGTCCTTTCATGAATCGCTAGAGTGTTACACGTACTACGTAAAGCCATTACCGTACCTTGAATTTGGTTTACCTTTCATGCCGACTTGTTTTAAAATGCTGATATCTTTCATACTATTTCCCCTGGAGTAACCATATTTGGTGTGCAAGGACATCCTGGGATGGCGGAGTACAGAGTGAAGAATTAGATCACTATGACCTCACTGTGACCTATGCTTTGACCTTAGACCTTAACTTTTGAAAATGTTTTTCCGGGGCAAATCTATATATTATTCACCTGGATTCCACTAGCCAGATTTGATGTACAAGGACATCTTGGGATGACGGAGTCCAGAGTGCAAGAATGAGATCACTGTGAACTATGACTTGACCTTTGACTTTTACTTTTGAAAATGTTTGTCCGGGGAATATCTTCTTTACTATTTCACCTGGAATAACCAAATTTGGTGTATAAGGACATCTTGGGGTGACGAGTGCACGAAGGAGGTTAATATGACCTCACTGTGACCTATGATTTGAACGGTAGGTACATCCTGACTTAAGTGTACTGTTTGTTAGATATATAAATCATTACCGGTGGGGGACTATGGATTGCCTTGCAATACTTTGCCTTGTTAAAAATGTTTATTAAATATACATAATAGCGTATACTGAATAGTGTTCCCTCATTAATGCATGACATAGGACTTATTTCCATTACTGTAAATATTGTTTATGGTATAGATTTTATAAATAATCAAACATGTTTAAACTTAACTTGAATCGGAATTATTTTTACTCGTTTCTTTAATGACAATCGTTATAATTAATCGTGACAAGACAATTGTACAAGTGTGTGTACAGGTAAGCTGTGAACATATTAATTTGTTATGTCAACTTTTAGGTTAACGCATATCAAGATATCTCAAGGGATATGTAGATAAGTGCCTTGAACTATTTAAGTTCTAGTTAATATCATAAATTGGCTGAGTTTCTAATCTGATCTATTTTCTCACGCGATGGCTTTGCTAGACACCTGTTTTCCGACAAGATTATAATGTGTTCATGGATAAGTAGAGCTTACCCCTAGAACTCATTATTCTCTCGTGAAAATATAAAACTAGCCTTAAAATATTCTTATAATACCGACCTTTCTCAAAATGTCTTTCTCATAATGTGTCAGTCATGTTATGACATTGAAAAAAAATGGCTAAAAGCAGTTAAATCGTTAGCCGGGAAGTAGGTTTTATAAAATGTTTCATGTTTATAGGGTTCAGACGAGATCTATGATTTTTTCGTAACCTTATATTGCCCAACCATTACTGTACGACACCCTGACAATTTCACGATAACATATTTTCATCTTTCCTAGACTATCATATTGCTCTGTATGACTGTGAATTGTGTCGATAATCATTGTTGAATTTATAATGAATTGATATTTGATAAATTGTTTTTTCAAATCGAAATAACATCAATTGAATTCGAATTTGAATTGTTATAAGAATGTTTCGCAATGGCGATGTAAGGAACACCGTGTCAGTGATATTCTATGGAACAAATATGTAAGCAATGATATAATATTAAATGCTGCATTTTTTATTGTTTTCCCTTGCTTAATTTAAAACATATCTCCTTGATTGTTTTGGAAATTTCCATAGGACATGTAATGCATTCGTCGTCCAGTAGGAATACACTTTTAACTGAGGTTACGGTTGTTGATTTAACGAAATTGATGGTGTGGTACAGCCTCGTTATCGCTCGAGTATTCTATATTTCATTGTACAAGTCATTCCCTGGCAAAGCCGTACTCGGTTTTTGATCAAGTAACTGTAAGCACGACCGCTCACAGGAAGGTGATATACTTGCACCACACAACTACAGATAGAGTTTGTAAACAGGTTAAAGACTTAATAGTGTGAATGTTCCAGAAATATTGTAATTAGTGTTAATGAATGCATGTCTGGCATTTTATTTAAATTGAATCAGTAACTATGTGTATTTGACTCAAAGGTTGATGATATTTAAATATTGTTAATTGCACATGATAATTCCTTGAACGCAACTATTAACTGAATTGGAATAAGTTGAGGAAAGGTATACTTATACCTTTTTTAATTGTTTTCACGTACAAATCTTACAATATCATTTGTTGAAATGGGAATTGAACCATTGGTACATGTACATTTTGGTAGAGTAAACACAACACATATTGCATATTGAACATGCTTTGGCC